ATGGATCATATATACACGAAAGTATCTGAACGAGGGAATGTGCGTTCCATAAAAGGGAGATTAGGCCTTCTGTGGTCGAGCGCTCTAAAGATACTCGATAAAACGGCAATTTCTCTTACAAAGGGGGAAGCAACTTCGAACCCTGCAGGAGAGCATATTTTATATATTAAGATGTCTCGAGCGGGGTAAAACATCAGACGTAATTCCTACTATCTGAAATAAAAAAATCGAGACGTCTATTTCAAACACGGGTATCAACTAAAGAAATAACGGTTTAAAGTAATAAAAATGGCGGATTAAAAATGATTCAATTTATTCTTTAGAAATTGATATATATATATATATATTCTTTAGAAATTGATATCTATCTATCTATCTATCTATCTATCTATCTATATGTTAAGAAATCGACGAGGTCCGACAATTTATTTATTAAAAGACATTTTTATTTATAGATTTAACGTTGTTATTTTATAAAGATATACAAGTATTTAAGCAAATATTCGTTTATGATAAACATATAAATAACATTTCCGGCCTGAATGTTCGAAAATTTTCATAGAAAATTTTCGTTCATAGACAGGATATATCAGTTTCCGTATAAATACGGGGTTCGAATCCTGTCTATCATAAACGAGCATTCGAACATTAAATATTTACTTTATCTATAAAATAAAACGTTAAACATAAATAAAAATGTCTTTAATAAATATATATATATATATATATATATATATATATATATATATATATATATAAAGAGAGAAAAGAGAGAAAGAGAGAGAGAGAGAGAGTCGTGTTGCCAGAAATAGGGTCTTCCGGCAACTACCCTCTTGGCTTAGAGCAACACTACTCCCTCAAGGCACCTGATGTAGGCCTTCGCGTTATCTGTGAGGCCCTCATCAATAAATTCAGTAATTCTTTTCTAATCAGAACAATCAGAGTGAGTTTTGTAAGCTGTCGTATCTTCGTAGTTACAATTAGACTCATCCAACTCTTTTCGAATCCTCTGCACTGTCCTCAGTTTGGCATCCAAACACTCTGAAATGTTCTTATTGGATCTTCCGGTGAGAATGCTGAGCAGTACGGCATGCCGTTTCGAAATTTCTGTTAGAGTGAATTCCGTCAGGGTGCTCTTTTTCTCACAGACGATGCCCAGTTGACCTTATTATACTGAGCAGTCGAAAAAAAAAGAAAAAAAAAAAGAAAAAAAAACAGAAACAAAAAAAAAAACAACGCGCATGCGCAAAATTAAAAATATAAAATGACGACAATTTACCCATCATACACTGTATATATATGAGTGTGTGTGCGTGCAGATTTAATAGACCGATTAAGAAAATCTGTAGAATGAAAAGCCAACAAAATAATAAGAATATTGAGTATAAGATTGATGATAATTATTATGTATTATTTAAGCCTTGTTACTAAATTGAAGCAAGAAGAAAAAGATTTTAATCATATTTTAGAAATTTTAGATTTCATTTTAAACAAACCTCTACTCGTCCAGGTTTTTCCCGAAAGCAATATCTGCTCAGTTTCGTCTCCGAAATATGAAAGCAGGAATTTCTAAACCATTCATGGGATTAGCTGTATTTGAATATATATATATATATATATATATATATATATATATATATATATATATGTTTGTGTCTGTGTGTGTTTGTATTCGTGTGTGTAGTCATCCACAGACAGACTGTTTCGCTGTGTCAAAGCTCATCAGTGTGACTCGACATCCAATCGCTTTAGGTCGAAACCGGACCGAATTGGTATGAGTTGGAGATTCTAGCCCCATCGACGCCCGGTAGAGAGAAAGGCGATTTTTTCGTATTTATTTTTTCGTAAACACACCAGTCACCAAGAGAACATGGTTGCTAGGAGAATCTTGCAGTAATAGTTCCGATAGTCTTTGCATATTCTTTACTCCCCACAGTGCTTAAATTATTTTATCGAGTGCTAATATCATCATCCCCAGATAGACTATTTCGCTGTATCAGTGCTCATCGGTGTGGTAAGACATAGCAATCTTCTATGTCAGCATAACAGAATCGAGTATTTGGTCATTATTTGGTCACAAAAGCAACATCACTTTGCCCGACAGCAGAAAAATCTTTGTATCACAACACATCTACAAATGTAATCAAGGTAAATTTAAAATAATGGCAATATAACAAACAGACAATTATTCTTACCTATAAATACAAGAAAAAAAAAAAACTACTTCAAAAACAAAGTTAAACCAGCACTAAATAGATCATAACACCACGCACAAAAGCGCACAGCATACACACAATGACGATTCTTTTATGGTGACATAGAAGATTGCTATGCTAAAATAACCGTCGCGAAATATCAGTCGCAAATCTTAAATTCATTTGTAGTTCTATGACGTCGTAACACGCGAAAGAACGAAATATTAACAAAGAACTATATATATATATATATATATATATATATATATATATATATATATATATAAACTATTATTACCAGTACAAAAAGAGCATGCAAAAAAATTCATTTTTATAACACGTGGAAATATCTACTCTTTGCATGAAGAAGGTCACGAAACCAGAAACTCGTGTGGCATAATTATGGAAAATAGGGTATAATATATTTTTTAAGGGCACATGGCACAGTGTATAAAGATGTTGGTTAGATCCAGTGACAGGACCCAAAGAGTGTGAGTTCCATACCCGGTTAAGGCAGTGGAGAACTTTCAGAGAAATTAGCAGGAGATAACTGATAACTGACATCCATCAAACATGGCACGTGGAACTAGACAGTCTACACCAGTGAGCGAAATAAAGGGTTCAGTTCGAAATTCCAACCACCTGAAGAAGGCCGGATACACAACGGCGAAACGTTATGATAAATATGGCGACAAAGATGAGGACAATAGACCGAATAATGTAAATATTTTTAAATAAAAAAATCCACATTACAACCAAAAAGCGTTTGCGGTTTATCTTCTTTTCAATATATATATATATATATATATATATATATATATATATATATATATATATATATATATATATATCCTATAGACAAATCATTCTACTCACTACAAAGATGCAACTTCGTTTCGGTCCATTTCAATTGCACCTCGACTGGTGAGAACCAAAATGGTTTGTGCATCTTTGTAATGAGTAAAATGTTTTTGTCTGTATGAAAAAAATTATAATATAAAATAATAATAAATAATTATTGCTCTACTATCTGTATCGAGCACTCTTTTGAAATAATGCTGTGAACGTTTGAATATATTTAGTTCTATTGCATCTGATTATATATATATATATATATATATATATATATATATATATATATATATATATATAGTCCATTTGAACAGCAGTTTTTTAATTTATGCTTTTCTATGCTAGCAGTTTCTTTTCTCGCACTTTTCGATTCCATGCTTTTCAGACAACTCTTATGTTCAAAATTTAAATGCAATGACAATCACAATCTACTGTCCTCCTGATTACACTTTTCATTTTCCCGCTCATTGTTAATGTTTCTGTCCTTAATTCTTCCGCCTCCTGGAACCACTTGAGTTTTAGCGATTGTGCATGGAGTGATACTGATTTGAAAAAAAAAATTATTTGATTGAAAACGCATGAAAAGTAATTGTTTAATTTATTTTAACCATTTCTAACCATTTTTCGAGTTTACGGGGATATTTTGAACATGATTTTTCAATATTTTCGGAGTTCTTTCATAAGTTAGCAAATACAATCCTTTGTGCTAATAGGATTATTTCAATACAAAACCCGGGGACAGGTTAAGATACAACGCCCGGAAACGACCTAAGAAACTTAATCCAAAAACATTTTCTCCATTTTGTCATACACTTTTACCCAATATTGCTCTCGATATATAAAAAAAATATCTATCTATCTATCTATCTATCTATCTATCTATCTATCTGAGTCTGTTCATATTTATCCGAGTCTATTCACATCTATCTATCTATCTATCTATCTATATATCTATCTATCTATCGCAGGAGAACATATCATCAGTAATCTAAGGATATGTGAGTTGTTTTACGGCGATCGACGAGGAAAGCCGAATTGATGACCCAAGCTCATTTTCCGACCTTAAGCTGCTGCGTTAATTTCCGCATTATTGCCTTTAGGAAAACACGAATCGATCTCTCCCCTGATCCTACAGGGGCCCAACTAGCAGGATCGACTGCGCTCCTTATTTTAGGGTGGCAACCAGTCTTAGAGAAGAAATGTTTTGCATTGGAAACCGTGGATAAGTCAACGGGAAACCAATGTCTTTGTTTTCAAGACTTCACAGATAAAAAAACAAAATAATTTGCAGGGAATCCGAAATCACCGACGTCCTGAGTTCTGGAGAACTTTTTTCTATATTCAATTCTCACCATGACGAAATCCCGGATCCATTTTTCTTGGAAATATCGCCAATTATCTTTTTTTTTTCTCAAAAGAGGATCATCTCATCAGCATACCAGAGAACAGACTACGTATATTAAGCTAGAATTTCGTAAAAGGCTGCTACCCACATTTACAACCTTGAGAGAAAAAATACCTAAAAGTATCAATGAAGTGCTTTCTTTTGTTTGAGCAAATGCTGGAATTATCGTGAAGTTCTCTTCTATTCATTTTCTATCAACGTGATCTCTATGGGCACACATGCATAATTTGTGTAGGTAAATATAAGACTGTATATATACAAATAAGTATTTTGCTTATATATGGACGAGAATGTTTCCTGGTGAGAAAGATGGCGTGTGTATGGAACAGGCATCCGTAGCCAGAAGGTAATGGACTGAAGAAACAGGGTTTTATTTTTTTTCTGTACAGGGAATAACTTTTGGCGAAATACAAAAGCCTAACGTAAGTGTTAAGATGTTCAGATTGATAAACTAGCCGTGATAGAAAAATGCCGGAATAAAGAGATAAACATTGTTCTTATTTGTTGAACTTATTCGCTTTATTGTCAGTGGGAAATATACAGAATGATCATAACAAAAGAAAAACGTAGATAAATAGATAGATAGACATATAGATGCGAATAAACTGATAGACAAATAGATAAGTAGAAGTGATCAAAGAGAGATAGCTAGTGAACAGAGATAGATAGAAAGATACATGTGAAAAAATGACAATGGAGTTAAACAAAATAAGATAGATATATGTGAATAAACTGAGATAGATAGATATATATATATATAGATAGATAGATAGATAGATAGCTATGAACAAACTTAGATGTAATCATAGATAGATGTGATGAAAATTATATATATATATATATATATATATATATATATAGAGAGAGAGAGAGAGAGATGTGAACAAAATGTAATAGATAGATAGATAGATAGATAGATAGATAGATAGCTATGAACAAACTTAGATGTAATCATAGATAGATAGATGTGAAGAAAATTATATATATATATATATATATATATATATATATATAGAGAGAGAGAGATGTGAACAAAATGTAATAGATAGAGATAGATAGATAGATAGATAGATAGATAGCTATGAACAAACTTAGATGTAATCATAGATAGATAGATGAAGAAAAAATATATATATATATATATATATATATATATAGAGAGAGAGAGAGAGAGAGATGTGAACAAAATGTAATAGATATATAGATAGATAGATAGATAGCTATGAACAAACTTAGATGTAATCATAGATAGATAGATGTGAAGAAAATATATATATATATATATATATATATATATATAGAGAGAGAGAGAGAGAGATGTGAACAAAATGTAATAGATAGATAGATAGATAGATGAATAGCTATGAACAAACTTAGATGTAATCATAGATAGATAGATGTGAAAAAAATATATATATATATATATATATATATATATATATATATAGAGAGAGAGAGAGAGAGATGTGAACAAAATGTAATAGATAGATAGATAGATAGATAGATAGATAGATAGATATGAACAAACTTAGATATGTAATTTACATTGTTCGCACTTTGTTCTCATCTTTATTGCCAAATTCACGACGGTTCGTCGTTGTACGCTCCGGCCTTCTTCAGAAGAATGGAATTTCGAACGTTTAGCTCTTGGGCAATATATACACATGACCCAGTGGATAATAACGTTGGTTAGTTTCAGTGACTTGCGCCAAAATGTTGTGAGTTCAACACCACGCTACTGCGTTGATTAACAAAAACTTGGAGATTTGAATTAAAGGGAGATAACTGAGTCATCCAGAAGAGGCATGTTAAGTGGAACTAGAACAATATACTACGGTGGCCAAAACAAAGCGTTCAGTTCGAAATTCCAATCACCTGAAGAACGCCGGAGCGTTCAACGGCCGAAACCTCGTGAATATGGCAATAAAGATGAAGACAACAGTACGAACAATGTAAATAATTAAAATACTTCATCACAGAAATATAGATAGATAGATAGATAGATAGATGTGAACAAAATGGGAGATAGATAGATAAATGTGATCATAGATAGATATATAGATAGATATGATCATAGATATATGTCAACAAGCTGGGATAGATAGATAGACAGACAGATGTGAACAAATTCGGAGATAGATAGATATATAGATAGATATGATCATAGATATATGTCAACAAACTGGGATAGATAGATAGACAGACAGATGTGAACAAAATCGGAGATAGATAGATAGATAGATAGATAGATAGATAGATAGATAGATAGATAGATAGATATGGTCATAAGTATATGTCAACAAACTGGGATAGATAGACAGACAGATGTGAACAAAATGGGAGATAGATAGATAGATAGATAGATAGATGTGATCATAGATAGATATATAGATAGATATGATCATAGATATATGTAAAAAAAAACTGGGATAGATAGATAGATAGATAGATAGATAGATAGATAGATAGATGTGATCATAGATAGATAGATAGATAGATAGATAGATAGATAGATAGATATGATCATAGATATATGTCAACAAACTGGGATAGATAGATAGACAGACAGATGTGAACAAAATCGGAGATAGATAGATAGGTACATAGATAGATAGATAGATAGATGTGATCATGGATAGATATATAGATATATATGGTCATAAGTATATGTCAACAAACTGGGATAGATAGACAGACAAATGTGAACAAAATGGGAGATAGATAGATAGATAGATAGATAGATAGATGTGATCATAGATAGATATATAGATAGATATGATCATAGATATATGTAAAAAAAACTGGGATAGATAGATAGATAGATAGATAGATAGATAGATAGATCGATAGATAGATAGATAGATAGATAGATAGATGTGATCATAGATAGATAGATAGATAGATAGATAGATAGATAGATATGATCATAGATATATGTCAACAAACTGGGATAGATAGACAGACAGATGTGAACAAAATCGGAGATAGATAGATAGATAGATAGATAGATAGATAGATAGATAGATAGATCGATATGATCATAGATATATGTCAACAAACTGGGATAGATAGATAGACAGACAGACGTGAACAAAATGGGAGATAGATAGATAGATAGATAGATAGATAGATAGATAGATGTGATCATAGATAGATATATAGATAGATATGATCATAGATATATGTAAAAAAAAACTGGGATAGATAGATAGATAGATAGACATTAATTTGTATGTATAAAATTGCGAGAAAAGCCAAAGCAAGACAGGAATAAAAACGACAACCAAAATTACCAAGTAAGGTAGGTACATTGGAAATATGAATCCTTTTTGAATAAAAGAGAAAATTAAGAGGTTAAAAAAGCCAAAAAAAAAAAATTAAATGCAAGTTAGAGAAGTTTGAGATGAAATGTTCGATAATGGACATTCTACTCGTTTTCTTTGTGTATGATTGCAAATCGAACGCGAGAAATTAGGGACAGAACGTGGAATGACGACGAAAATCAAAAACGAAAACAAGAAAAACGATCGGCTGAAACAAACTTATTTGAAGAGAAAATGCCCTGGTAAACATTTAATCTGCGCATGTACATGTTTGCTGAAATTTAAACGACTGCCAGACTTGCATAACATTTTAACACGTGAATACCTCTATAGAGTCTTTATATGTGAAAAGACTTGTTCTCGTCTTTCTATGAATATATATATAGTTAGAATATTATGTACACAGGTATGTGTGTCTGTGCGCGTGCGTTAGTAGCGAAAGAGAGATAATGTGAAATCAATATAGAATTCAATACTGATGAATATTTCACGTTATAATGCGATTTTACTTAAAAACTTAATACCAACCATTTTGTCAGCAAGTATAATTATAGAAAAACAATGAAATTTCAAGCACAAATCTCATATCTATCTATCTATCTATCTATCTATCTATCTGGATCGATAGAATCAATCAATCGATATATATATATATAGAGAGAGAGAGAGAGAGAGTGAGAGAGAGAGAGAAAGAGAGAGATAGATAGATAGATAGATAGATAGATATACAAGGTATGATTTCTGATAGAAAGTATACATACTTTTTTTATTAGGACTTCAATCTGTAGTCCGGCTCTCATTAATTTCACAGATTAAAAAACAAGGATGTCTACTCAACAATGTGTTCCCACTAAATATAACAATAGAACGCCACACAGATATATATATATATATATATATATATATATATATATATATATATATATATGTAAGATTTGTGCATGTATTATATATATATATATATATATATATATATATATAGATAGATATATAGATAGATAGATAGATAGATAGATAGATATTAAGACATTTTTATGTTATACATTCTATTTATAGATACAAATATTTAAGTAAATGCTCTGTTTATAATAAATAGTATTAAACAATTTTCCGGCCTGAATGTCCGAGAAATTTTCACAGAAAATATTCGTACTCCGAATTTTCTGTTTTTTATCCTCTGGTTCATGTGTATATATGGCCCAATAGGTAAAAGTTCGAGATTCCATTCATCTGAAGAAGGCCGGAGCGTACAACGACGAACCGTCTTGAATTTGGCAATAAAGATGAGAACAAAGTGCGAACAATGTAAATAATGCAAATTACATATCTATCTAACTTTGTTCATATCTATCTATCTATCTATCTATCTATCTATCTATCTTTAATCAAATCACTTGTGTGGGTTTTCTGGCGGTTTACCTTGATTAATTCTTATCCAGTAGGACGCCCATGGCTGAGATACAAAGACAAGCTGCAAAGCAACTTCTCAGCAGTCAATATACCACACAACACCCTTGAGCGCTTAGCTTTGGAGCGGATAGAATGGAGATCAACGTGTTTTAGTGGACTAAGCAATTTTCAGTCTGCTTGTCTGAATCATCTTCAAGAAATGAGAGCAAGATCTAAAACGTCAGCCAATCTAAAAGTGATCTCATCTCACAATCCTCACACTTGCTCCATATGTGGCCTCCTTTGTAAATAACTAGCGCGTTTTAAATGCCACTTAAGATTATCGGACAAAATTTCATAACTGAATCAATAAGCTGTCAGATCCTCATACGTCGAAAGCGACGGGAGAGTCCATTATTATATATATATATATATATATATATATATATATATATATATATATATATATATATATGTGTACAATTGCACGTACACACACACACACAAACATAGATATATATTAGTAAATATACATAATATCCAACGTCGATAGCAAGACTCGGAGATCCATGCAGTTCTTGCAATCTTCATTATTCGTATATGTAGATGTTTTTATCCTACCATGTATATATATATATATATATATATATATATATATATATATATATATATATATATATATATATATATACAGTATTAACTATTATTTATTTGAAATTTAATTACAGTTAAATCAGTTCAATATTTTAATACATATATTTTTTTAATACAATACCCACAGCATGCGGCCAAATCTATCTATCTATCTATCTATCTATCTATCTATCTCTAGCTAGCTAGCTATCTAGCTAGCTAGCTATTCAATAGCTAGCTGCATTGAGAACTGTTTTGTTTACACCATAAATTAAATTAAATACATATTTATTTGATTATCTCTGTATGCACACTATTGCACGTGATTCACTTTATATTCACATTTGTGTATATATATATATATATATATATATATATATATATATATATATATATATATATATATATATATACATACATATATATATATATATACATACATATGTGTGTGTGTGTGTGTATACTATTATATATTAAGACCCCATTATAGAAGAATATGTGTGAGTAAACCTGTCCATATGTACGTGTAGGGGTAGGTAATAAACTGTAGTACAAGTTGACAACAGTGAGGCTCATGATATCTGGGCATTAGCGAATAGGTCCACAAGACGTTGTTGTTAACTATTGTACTAAAACTGTTACAGGGAAAAATATGCAGTGTATACAAGATAAAATGCAAAGGAAAATCTAAGAAATGAAAAGAGATGCAAGGTTTCAATGGCAATTTAAGTAAAAATCTTGTAAAAATGTCTAGAAAAAAAAATAGAAGAAAAACCAAAGCAGGAATAATAAAAAAACAAAAAAACGTTCAAAACCGGTTGCATTTCGTTTATTCTGTTTTACTGTATATCAACCTCAATGGGTGATTTAATTCCGACAAGATTTTTATAATAAATTCGTATGAATAGAATATGTATTCTTTGTAAGAAATCAGTTTGTAGATCAGGTTTTATTGACGTATTTTTTTTTTTGGTTTTATTTGGTTGCGTTTGTTTTACGGCATATCCAACTCAGTGGTTAATTTAATTTCGACAGGATTTTTATTTTCTTTATTATTGTAGCTTAAGAAATAACTTTCTACAAACAAAGAAAGGAAAAGGAAGAAAAACGAAAAAAAAAGGACATTTTTAGTAACCAATTCAACACAAGGAAGGCAATAATGCTACTAAGACCCAAGGAATAAAACTCAAGAAATTTTAAATGACCAACGTCCCAAAGAAATCTTAAAGAAAATGCTAGTAAAGACGAAAAAACAACGGAATTATAAAAGATTATGACAACGTTAGAAAAGAAAGCATAAGATATAAGAGAAAGAAAAAGAAATAGAAAACGTAAAAAAAAGAAGAAAAATATGAAAGAAAGAAAATAGAAAGTTGAAGAATTAACGCTAAAAAAACTTTAAAAAAGATAAAAACAAAAAAGAGGAATTAAATGATACTGTTTTAAAGAAAACTTAAAAAGAAAGAGTGAGGTAGAAAGAAAGAAAGAAAGAAAGAAAGAAAGAAAGAAAGAAAGAAAGAACGAAAGAAAGAAAGGGCGGAAGGACGGAAGGAAGGAAGGAAGACTTTTTAAAAAAGAAAGTAAGAAAGAACGAAAGAAAAAAAAGAAAGAAAGCTTAAAAAAAGATGCACGAATTAAAGAAAGAAACACGGATTGAAGGAAAGAAGGGAGGGGGGAATGAAGAAAGAAAGAATGAATAAAAAGAAAGAAACCTTTAAAAAAACACGTATTATGGAGAGAAAAAAAGAAATGTTGAAAACAAAAGCACGAACTTAAGAAAAAATGAGAAACCTGAAAGGAAGATATCTTAAAGAAAAAATAACGCGAACTAGAGAAAGAAAGAAACAAAAAAACACGAACTGAAGGAAGAAAGAAAGGAAGGAAGGAAGAAAGAAAAAATGAAAAAAAAAAGAAAGAAAAAATGAAAAAAAAAGAAAGAAATCTCAAAGAAAGAAATAATAAAAAAAAAAGAAAAATCTAAAAAAAATTGTGCTAGAGAATGAATGAAAGAAAAGAATGAACGAAAGGAATAAAAAAAATCTTTAAAAGAAATACTAACAAAAGAAAGAAGGAAAAAAAAAGAAAGAATTTTATAAAAAAAACACGAGCGAAAGAAAGAAATGGAGAACGAAAAAAAGAGTTTGTTTTTTTTTTTTTAATGAGAGGTCGAACTAAAAAAAGAAAGAAAGAATTAAAGAAAGAAAAGCTCAAGAGATCAGAAACTGAAAATAAAGGTAAAGAAAGCTAGATAAATATCTTTAACCAAAAACAGTGAGAAGGAAAGAAATGACGCAAATGAAGAAAATACATGACGTGCTATTGCGTGCAGATGCATCTATTTAATTCTTACGCAGGTGGAACTGTATGTGTACAAGAATATCTGCTAATCACATGTTCTTATACATACGTGGCCGAGTGCGTACCCATGTCTTTGAGCCGACATCTGAAGTTATACGGACATAAACAACTTCTTCGCTGTTTGTTAACGTGTCACAGGCATACGAAATGAGACAACTGTGTAATATATGAACGTTTAGTCCATATGAGCAAATTCTGACGCTAGACGACAATTATTTAACAATCATTAATGATAAACACATAACTGCATACGAACAGGTGTGTAAATGTGCATCTGTACGTACATAATGGTATCTACAAGTATATACAAGCTTGTGGTAGATATCTATTGTACGCTCAAATACATACAGATATATCTAAGAGTTTTTCTAGTACAAGACTCAAAGTGGGATAAAATTATGCTAATAATTATTTTAATCATTTCACGCCAATCAATGCCATAAAGCCATTGAAATATTTATAGAAAAGACACGGGGAAGCTACTGTATGAGTAGTGGTAAAGTGAAAGAATCTGAGATGTCAGATTCTTTTTTGGATTTTGTCAAGAATGTCTGAATATATAGCAGAAGTACCAGAGCGATATGGCAGCAATATTCAATGCATAGGCGAATGGTAGATTTATAAAGGTGTAAGATAGATTCTGATGAGTAAAAAAAGAATTCTAAATCGACAGAGTAAACCAACTTTCCGTCCAACAGACCTAACAATTAATTTAATATAATCTTTCCACTTCATAGGAACAGAAGACGTTAGCCCGAGGAGATACAAAGAGTCACTCTCCTGGAGGCTAGCATCAGCCACACTGATGAAAGGCAAAAAAAAGCGTTCTCTCAGACGATTAAAACAGTTTTGTTTCGGAGTCGTTAAAACTAACAAGTCATTCCTTGCTCCATTTAACAACAGATTTTTGGTCATTTTTGAAAAAATCAGTTGCCAAATTGACCTTGCCTAGATATTTTAATAAACATTTTAATAATATATTTCTTTCAGGTTGGTACTAGCCGTGCCTCTTCACAGCTTTCCTTTTTTCTTCCTATTTTCTCTGAATCGTCTCTGGAAAAGATAGTGGAATGATTTTCTATTGCCTTCTGTTGTAGAGCCTATAGGTAAGATCAAATTCTTGATCTTAATTCTACGAAATTAATTTGCTAAACATTATTCAACAGCAAGGCGCACCTGAAATCAATAGTCATCACTCGCGGCTGTCTACCCTCACCTTTTGCCAAACTAAGCAGAGCAAAGGAACTATGCCATATTTTTTTATGCATTATCCCTTCAAGAGGTAGATGACCCTGGCTCTCCACAGATTCCTTCTTTAATGTGTGTGAATTGCCATCACTTCTTGGGAAACATATAGGAGGATTTTCATTTTTTTATCGATTATTCTTGTATTTAATGTTGGCATTCTTGTAAACCGGCTGTCACCCAAGGCAGCATAATGATATACTGAGCTCTAAAAGCTCAGTGTATACTTCTATTTAACCTATAGCAGGGGTACTTAGACCAGTGGTGTGTTTATGTCTTTTCCACGAGCATTAGTCTGAAAGTGAATGCAGAAGACTAGGTCAGAATTTGAACTCGGCATGCCGATTCTATTTTTCATGTCGATAATCGTTTGAATTCCAATCGAATCTATTACATTCACTTACCTGCTAATAATCTTGGGAAAGGTATGAATCCTCTTAAACCAGATATGGGTAAATAGCAGGACAAACCGGGTTCTATAGCCTTGGATGGCAGCCCGCCTACCGCAGGAAGAAATGGCAACCTACTGCGGGAAAAAAATCTGCCTCGTCAGTCATGTATCAAAAGATACATGATCGCCTACGCGTATATAAACGCATGACACTCAACCGTTACGACGCATGCGCATCCGTATACTTAATTTGGTTATAATCCTTATACGAAACGACCATCATTATTTAATAATTTTAGCAATGTCTGGCACATGGTGAAAATAGTTGAACACCTAGGGAGGATCCAATTCTCAAAGCCAGTAACGATCTTCGAGACGTACTTATTAAACAAAGCTCTCTGGTAAGCACAAAAAACAGAATTTTTTAATGTCATGTAACTTTAGACCGTAGGTTGTCATGGCTCTGTACAGCTTCTTTTTTTTATTATGTGGGAGTTGTCATGCGATCTTTTCTTAGAAAGAGGATGAAGGGGTTCCCACTCGTCTTCTCTATAAGTTTGGAATTCAAAGTTTTCTTTCTTTTAGGCTTGTTGCTGCCCATAGCTACCCTGCTATTTAACGCATAGCCAGGGGTCCTTTGCGCAAAATCAAACACAAGACTGTAACCTGGAAATCGAACCGTGCTACCCGATTGCTTTTTTCATACCGATATCCACTCAGCTATCACACTATACACACAACAACCAAAAACATCGCATGAGGTTAAGAGTATGGGTCACTCAGAGAGACTTGAACTTGTTTCGCGGTAACAGACTTCTCGACTAACTCACTGATCATTATCTCTCGACGAGTCGCCTGTGCGTATGAGGTTTTAGACAGGTGTGCATGGATGCGCATACGCAGATGTAAAGGAATGCATCATATGTATATTGATTGTTGTTTTAATTGTGCAAGTGAATTTCGTCAGAGTGCGTATGTGCATGCTTGCATTTATAAGTGTTGATGTTTAAATATGGTGCCAAGCGTGATGGAAATCTAACTGAAGATGTGTGTGTACACGTGTAGGTGTTTTCTTTTCTTTTTTTTTTTTTTTGTTCGTGTCAGTATGTGCGCGTACGAGCAGCCACTTACCATTCGAGCGGCAGTCTTGTACGTCCACGCCTGGGCAGGTTGCATGAAAGGCTGAACACACTGATGTTATTGATTTTAAATCAGCTCCGATTCGCAGTTCAATGAGATTAAATCGCATTATCTCTACCAATAGGCCCGGGTATCTGCTGAAAATCTCCACTTGAAATTTTTCAAAAGGATCACGACTCTTGAAAAACAATAATTTAGTAATCGCAATTGTAATTTGCCTGGACCAAATGAATTCTTTCATCGACCCAGAGTCCCGATAAAACAAACGTCAGTTGTAATGCGATTGAATTAAACGCCAAGGAACGTAACACAACGTTGAATTTGTGGCGTGGGTGTTCTTTTTTTTTTCTATTTAAAAAAAAAAAAAAATCAGATTGTTATTTCAAATTACTCTTTCTTTGTTACTATCTCTTTCCTTTTTGCTATCCTTTCTTTTCATTTTTTTTTTTTTTTGCTTTTAATTCTCGAACGAAGACGAGACGACAAACGTGAATGTGCGTGTGTTTGTGTGTTTTCGCTGATAATACATGTACATTTGTAATCTCGTGTCTGAGAGACTATTTGATTAAGAAAGAAGATATGGAAGAGAAGCGGTTACTCGCTTGAGGAACAGAAAAGAATTAAAAGAAGAAAAAAAAAACTTGTACACGAAGCGAAGAAATTTAAACAGAACAATAGAGGTTAAAACAAAGATAAAAACAAACAAATATAAAATCAAGACAAGAAAACGAAACGAGTGACAAGTCGTCGAAAGAAAGGGGATGTATGATGGCTGTAACAGTTAAGAGCTACCAGAGAGAGAGAGAGAGAGAGAGAAAACAAGCAATTATTTCCCTTGCATCCAAACAATTTAATTTAAATAAAATACTTGAAACCTAAACAAGTCAAAAAGGTGAACGGCAGAATTAAAAATTAGCAGGAAGAAAAGAGATCACTCCTTCCGAACCATGAAAGAGTTTAGGCATTTGTCCGCCTATTTGTTGATTTAATGTCGTTGTTTTGTTTTGTTTTTTTTTTTTAAAAAAAAGCTTTTACTTTCTGTTTGCTCTCGAGTTATTTAATTTTAATGCGGACACATTGGAGATGCAAACGTTAGTTCGGGCCGCCAAATATGGAAGCCAATTGGCATGATAAAACCTGTTTAATAGATTGGCATTAGGGACGAGCAGTTTATGTAATCCATGAAATATTTTAGGTATCATGTCATTTCATGACTAGAGCGTTCGTGTCTCTCCACAACTTCCTACCCTTTGTAGATCTAAGTAATGTATTATTTACACTATTTATATTCGAACTATTGTCCTCATATGTGTTGTTGTTATCACAATGTTTCGGCCGTTGTGCCATCCGGCCTTCCTTAAGTGTATATCGATATAGGTAACCCACAGGGAATTCTGTACTGAACTCTTTATTTAATCGACGTGGGTAGACTTTTCTTGTTTCACTGGTCATGTCTAGGAATATAGACCAGATCTTATTTTTTTTTATTTAATATTGTTCAGTTATTGCTCACCTTTTTCCACCGAGTGCAAATACACACTGTCCGACTCTAGGATTGAACTCACAAATTCAGACAGAAACTAAGTAATGTATCTTTATTTAATATCCTTCCCAGTTGGAGTTAAGCCGTCCGTTTACACAAACTTATTAGGTAGGTAACTCTGCCCCTATTGTCTTCAATATGTCATGAAGTTAGTTTTGAAAGGGCTCGCTTCCAGTTCCTTTCACACGCACGCGGGTACACCCCAAGGCTCTTTCTACGCTGTTTCTGATCTTCAATGATCTTCCTGATGTCATCAGTTCCTAAGTATTTATTTATGCAGATGACACTATCATTTAAACCTGTCTCAGTAGCAAATCCATCAGAGATGACAAAGTTAACCTGACCGCTGTTCTTGAAAAGGACCTCCAGTCAGTGGTTAAATGGGACAGCAAATGGCTTGTACATTTTAATGCCTCCAAAACATACCTGCTTTCATTTAACCACCATAGAGAAACTTCCCTCCCCGCCATCAGTATGGCTGAGGCTCGACTCAAGAAGAACATCTCACTGAATCTTCTTAGTCTCACGTTCAACTGAATTGAAATGGAACGACTACATTGAATCAATAACTGCATCTACCGCTAGGAAATTTGGTTCATTGTGTCGTGCCAGAAGGTTTTTCTCAGAGTACCT